AGCTTCAACCCATATCTTACCTGACATCTGGCAGCATCTGGCAGAGCCTACCCCTCCCCTACCTTCCTTCTTGAAGTGCATCCTTTGCTTGGCTTTCAGAATATTCTAGCAGAATTCCTCCTCTCTAACTGCTTCTTTTGAATTTCCTCGCAGGTTTGTATCCTGCACCTCAATGTTGATGTTAGCACTCCCCTGGATTCCGCCTGCTGCCCTCTTATATTATTTTATTATTTAAATTCTTCCATTGATTCAGTGGAGTTAACAAATGTTATTGAACACTATCATGAGCCAAAGACTGCAGAGGCACCAGAAATTCACTGATGAATCAAACTAGACATTGGTTCCTGCCTTCATTACATTGGAAGGTGGAGGAAGAAAGAAACAAACAAATAAAGGAACTATTAAAGAATTATGAGTGTTATGGAAACAAGCAGGAGGCTGAGTTGAAGACCAACAGAATTGGAGTCTACCTTAATGAAAATGACCTGAGGGATCTAATAGCTCTAGCTCTTGAAGCTGGGAAGAAAGCACATTCCATGTGGAGGGATCAATATGTGGAAAGTCCCTGGGGTGAAAGAGTTCTACTTTCTGAAATGCTGAGAGAGGATTAGTTGGCTGGAGTGTGGGTGGTGAGCATGTGACAAGCCAGGGGCAGATCACATGGGTCCTACCAGTCATGGTAAGAATGTTGAGTGGTCTTCTAAATGAAATTAAAAGCTATTGAAAGGTGTTGAGTTGTGGAGAGACATAATATGACTCATATTTTAATAAAGCCACTTGCTGCAAAGTGGAGGACAAATGGAGGACAATAGAAGCAGAAACAGGGAGATCAGGGAGCAGGCTACTTTTGTATTTCAGGCAAGAGATAATGGGGGCTAGACTAGGGAGCAGCCATAGAAAGAGGAAGACATGGACAAGTCCAAGAGCTTATTTGGGGAGTTGAATTGAACAGACTTGGTGACAGATACAGAGTGTGAGGGAAAGAGGTGAAGCAAGAATGGCTCCAAGTTGTCTAGAGTGAGCAGCTGGATAGTTCATGTTGCCATTGACAAAATGGAGATCAGAGTAGTAATAGTGTGGGGGCAAGGCTGTGTTCTATTTGGTTAAATGTGAACTATCTATGAAACATTCAAGTAGAGCAGTCAGGTAGGCACGTTAAAAGTTCCAAGCAGAAGTTAAGGCTAAAGATATAAATTTGAGATTTATCAGCATGAACACGGTATTTTTTAAAAGGTTTTATTTATTTGAGAGAGAGAGCACAGCGACAGGTGGGGAGAGGGGTAGAGGAAGAAGCAGACTCCCCGTTGAGGAGGAGCCCAATGACACGGGGCTTGATCCCAGGACCCTGGGATCATGACCTGAGCTGAAGGCAGATGCTTAGCCAACTGAGCCACCCAGGCACCCCGTGAACATGGTATTTATTCATTCTCACACTTACTTATTTTTCTAGGATCTTATTTTTCTTTTCTTTAAATGACTATTTACAAAAACAAAACTAATTACCGTACATTTCACAGAAGTTCTAACTAGAATGGGCTATAAACATAACATCATATCAAAAGGGAGAAAAAAGTCAAGATCCACAAGAATTCTCTCTTTAGATGTGATCAAGCTGAAAAATGACCCAGTAAACTAAGTCCATGATGAACTTGGGATCACTTACATCTATGCTGACAGAGTTACTACACTTTCCTGGTCCATGACATAACTTTTTTTTTTTAATTTCAAAAAGAGGAGAGAGCTTTTAATAATACATTAATTTCATAACAGATCTATTAAGTATCTGGCATCGCTCTCAAATTGCCTCAAAATAATGCATAAAATAATACCTGATTCAGACTTAACAGATCACAAAGGAAGGAGAAATGCCCCCCAGATTTCCCAGCACACTTAATACAGAAATCATTTTTTGTGTGTCCTTCCAATAATTCCTTCAAAATCATCTAAAGTCTATTAGTTAAGCACTTTGTTGGGTGATAGTTCTTCTTGTAGCTTTTAAAGATAAATATGACAAGAGAAATTAAAAGGGCCACCAAGGGTAAAATCTGTTTAGTGCCATTTGGAAGCTTTGCGACAACAAGCATGTATGACTCAATGGATCCGTGCTGTCTTGAGTTTGTTGTTGGCCTCTTTAGCATTTTTATAAGCTCTGTCAAGACAGTGCCGACAATGGCCTCAACTCTGGATTTTTCTGTCATCAGTAATCCGCATACTCTCTCAACCTGCTTCTTGAAAGTTGTAAGGTTTCATAATGTGCATGTGATACTGGGTGTGGCCTTCAGGCCCATGGTCGGTATGGATGGTATCTTCATTTCTGACTCAACTCCTCATGCCCTGGTAGTGATCACTGCTGTCTTAGACAGGACTCCTTCGGGGTGATGGGTGATCGTGTTGATCATCCCTGTGATGGTGGTTTTGGCCTCAACATGCAACCAAACGGATGTAACTCTGCTTTCTGTACTAACCACAGAACGGCCTGGCAGAAGTGCGGGGGTGACCACCTTTGCAGATTTGTCAAATATTTGGGGAAGTTGTCAGGTTATGATTGGTGTGTTCAGAAGAACAGAGTGTGTCTATTTGACCATGTACCTACCTTGCCTAGGTACCAGCAACAGCTTTTGAGTTTGTAGCTTACATTGTTGTCATTTTTCTGTTGTGGTTCTTTACAGCACTTGACTTCTGGACACTACTATTAGATACAATGGAAACTGAAATATCATTGAATGAAGAAAACAAAGTGAGAGCTAAAAAATGCATGATTGTGGATGTTGATGGCTACCCAGTTGTGGTACCTGTTATGGTCATTGAGGTACCACGTTTCCCATTGTCTTAGTCATTTCTGAGTGCCACAGGGGTGACAGCAGCCACCAAAGTGGCTTAGGTTGGCCAATCACAGGAACTCTTGGAGGGGGGGTGACTGTGTTCTTTCCACCAAGAACTCACTCTCATTCTCTTTGGTCTTTTTAAAATTTTTTCTTTTCTTTTCTTTTCTTTCTTTCTTTTATTGTCTCAGTCTATGTGATATGTGTCGGCAGAAATGTCCCCTTAGCTAAATCATTCTGCTGCTTACAAGAGAGAGAGAGAGAGAATATTTTGTGAGCAGTTCTTTGATATCCTGAGGCTTGGCACTGTGGAAAATGCTTGGTTGAAGACAGTCCAAAAGAACACAGTGGCTTGGATACTCTAAAGATCGACTTCAGGAAAGGTTACCTGATACTGCCCTAACCTCCCCAAACTTGTTCTCCCTGTTCCTCTCTGCCCTCATGGCAACCCCAGAAGACTTGAGATTTTGCTTCCTGTCCAGGGAGAAATCTGGCTTTTAAACAAGAACACGGAGGAAGCAAAACAGGCACGATGACTATACAAATCTTGAGGGGGAGCTCAGAGGAAAGCTGTGGTTTCCGAAGTTCCAGTTGGCCGAGGCTCTTCAGAGATAATGCCAGATTCTCTGTTGCTTGGCCGCAGAATCTCTGTCAGCTTCTCAAGTGAAGAAGGCCCCACACCGGATCCGCTTCCTTCTTCATGCTCTGCCAGGTTGGCCTGTGGGTCCTCACTGGGTGAGGCGTGGCCCCCGGGATGGTAAAAGCAGGAGTCCCTCTACCTGCTTTGTGGCACACATACCACAGGGGCTTGAGCCCAGGTGTTTCCAGCATGGCTACCATCCAGCCATAGCAGTCAGCAGCCGACGGGGTACATGGGATGTGGAAGCAGACTCTTCTGACAAAAGCGGTTCTTGCATAATCCCTATCTAGTTACAGCCTACTGACATGTGGGAACAAAGGCCCAGAGAGAAGTCCAGACACATCCAGAGAAAATCAGGACTTTTTATTGAGACCCAAGATCAATAACACAAAACACATAGAGATTTTGCTCATCTCTCTTTTTTTTTTCTTTGTTTTTTTTATTCTTATGTTAATCCCCATACATTACATCATTAGTTTTAGATGTAGTGTTCCATGATTCATTGTTTGTGCGTAACACCCAGTGCTCCATGCAGAACATGCCCTCCTCAATACCCACCACCAGGCTAACCCATCCTCCCACCCCCCTCCCCTCTAGGACTTTGCTCATCTCTTAACCCGGTATTTCCTCAAGGGAGTCAAATCTTGCCTGATAAGCAAACTGTCATATTCAGAGACGTGGATACCTAGAAAGGCTCAATCCCACAACCTTCCTTCTTCTCTTTTAGAAACTTCAAATCTCCTCCTCTGTCCCCACAGCTCAAGGGAGGGGGGGGTCCTTGGAATTCACCCCTAAGGTGGCACATGGCAGTCAGCAGAACACACTTCAGGCCCATCTGGAATTACTCAGTTGCAGGCCATTGTGTCTAGCATGATAGGAACTTAGTCTCCCTATTACCTTCATTGCCAAGAGCTGCTCCTGATTTCCAGAAAATTGAGGGAAAATAAGAGACAGAATCCTCTTTGAAATATTCACTGCAATTTTTATCAAAGAAGCTGATGAGGTTTTTTCCCATCTTCTCAAGAAAATAAAGGTAAATTACAGAGTTCTGATGGTCACAGCATTAGAAGGTTTCCATGCACTTCCTTTTATAACATGAGCAAACCCTGACCCACAGCAACTGACATTTTCATGAGCTGGGAGTCTCTCTAGGGATAATTTCTTTGCTTTCTCCCATAGCAAATAGAAAGGATCTAAGGTTCTGCCCAGGACCACATAATGTCTGGCTTTTCCCTTCCCTGAGTTAATATTCTAAGATTGGACAAGAGAGACAAATCATCAGCTCACACATATTCATTAAAGGGGATGTAGGCACAGGATAGCATTGGGAGAATGTCTTAGACCATTTGGGCTACTCCCAGAAACAACGAACGTTTATTTCTCACAGTTCTGGAGGCTGGGAAGTCTAAGATCAAGTTGCCAGCAGATTCAGTGTCGGGTGAGAACCTGCTTCCTGGTTCATAGACAGTAGTCTTCTTTCTGTGTCTTCATACAATGGAAGGGACAGGGAGCTCTCTGGGGTGTCTTTGATAAGGGCACTAATTCCATTCACAAGGGCTCTACCGTCATCACCTAACCACCTCCCGAAGACCCCACCTCCTAAGACCATCACATTGGGAATTAGGTCTCAAACATACGAATGGGGTTGGGGTAGTGAGATGCAAACATTCAGTAGAGAGCAGAGAGTATAGGGGAGTTCATGAAAAGTAGTGCAGAAAAGATTTTAGCATCGACAGTTCCTGGTTAACTAACAGAAAGAATGGAGAAACTGAAACTTTGGTTAACTCCCATGCTATTTGGCTATCCTGCTTTTACCTCACGGATTATGGGATTCTGTGAGATTTCTAACAGCTTTGAGGAAATGCTATCTTGATGGAAAATGATTCCGAAATAGAGTTCATCAAAATCATAGCCCGAGGCCATCAGAATCTTCCGGATTGCAGGCTGAAAGGCAGATTCCAGGACTCCAACCCCGCTCTACTTAATCAGAATCATAACCATGATCCCAGAGGAATCTGTATCTTGAATAAACTCACTATGTGGCTCTTATGCCCATAACAGTTTGAGAACCCCTGCCGAAGCCCCCAATCAGGAGCAAGCCCAAGGAGTCTTGAACTTTTCCTGTCCTTAAAAAACAAAAACAAAAACAAAAAGTTAACAGAAAAGAGAGCATGATTGCTCTGTGGAGTTCTCTCAAACACCAGGAGAACTATATGTACATGAGCTGTAATCAGACCCATAAGGAGAAAGCAGTGATAGGAATGGTTTTCACTCAACCCACAGAGCTAGTTGAATGAGATCAACGATCTTTGCCAAAATCTAATCGTGCAGAGCCGCCATGAATAACCTTAATATTTTAAAGCCCCCACAGCATAGCCAGGATCTCCAGCCAACTCAGGGAGCCTTTCCAATGTCAGTGCCATCTTTTGTTTAAAATTGCTGCCTAATAGGGGCCCTTCCAAATCAAAAACCTTATTTATAGAATGCTACGGAAATTCTAATACCAAAATATGTGTTGCACCAGTTTGGACAAAAGTTTCAGTGGAAGGAATCTCCTGAAACATTTTTATGACAACATCTATTTAGGCTTTACCAAAAACAATGTTTTAAGGAAAATTTCTTATTTGATATTTGGATACAATATGAATTCTCTAAGAAAAACCGGAAGTATGCAAGAACAAATTATAATATTACTATTTTTTATTATATCTTCTTTTTAGTAAAAAACAAAAAGTTATGTTAAGGGCAAATACATCGTGAAATTTACCAACTGCCCTCTGCTAATTTTGAGAAATATTACTGTATTCATGTTCTCAAGAATTTTGACTTACTAGGGAAAGCTGAAGAATAATTAACACCTTCAAACCTGCACTATTTAACCTTATTTCTTCATTATCCAGTTCATAGTGTCACCTAGGAAGTTTTTGCTGGTTTGCCCTGTTCCGTTCTGCTGGTCCACTCCCAGATTCTCCTTTTACGGGTCCGAGGTGAGGCCCAGGCAATTACAAAGTGCAACCAGGATTGAGATGCCTATTTATAGCCAATGCAATATGTTTACCCTAAGATATTACCAGAAAAGAAATTCTCACTAATAGAGGTGCCTTACATCCTTCATATTTCAAGGGTTTCTAAATTAAGATTTTTCAGCCTCCAATTTTGTTATGCCAACAAGCCAGTTGTTCTGTCAAATAAATAAAATCCTTAAAAAAAAAAAAAGAAGGTGCTTTGAATGCAGATGAAACAAGGGGAGGACCAAACAGAAGACTGCCTGCTGTCAGTGTTTGAGGGTGTGACCCCTAAATTCTAGTCCTTAACACATTCACCCCACTTTACTCCCTGTCTACAACTAGTGGGTTCTCATCTCTGGTTTTGCTCAAAATTTCGTCTGTCTGGCATCTGTTCCTACCTTCCCCTTCCCCACTGAGACACACTCTTCTCTCATCTTATTGGACTGTACTCAGGTCTCCTCTCCAGGGGCCCCTCTCTCAGAAACTACTCCTGACATTCAGAGTGGTTCTCTAGTGAAGCTTTCAAATGAAGCATAATTTGGGAGGCCCTCACTTGCAAGCGTCCCTTCAAAGCCGGTGGACAGGGTCCTAGCCGTGTTTTCACACAGTTGTGTTTTTAAAATAAGTTGTGCAGAAGTAAGATATTCTAACCCTAATTATTTCAGACTCTCTACTCCAACTACCCTTCCATTAAACTCCTTCTTGTGTTAGGTAGCGTGGGAGTGACTGTGAGCACTTTTGGGAATCGGGGTAAAGGGACATTGAGTTTGGAATACATTTGGTTGGTTTAATGGAATAATATATTTATGTGGTTGTCAGTATAGGAATGGGGTATCAGTCAGGATTCAGGCAAAGAAAGAGGACCAGTAGGAAATATTAACATGATAGATAGATGGATGATAGAGATAGATGAGAGATAGATGATAGATAGATAGTAGGCAAACATCTCTAGAGACATAAGGAATTGGCTTATGTAACTGTGGCAGACTGACTAAGCAAGTCTGAAGTCCACAAGGCAGGCCATCAGAAAGGGAAGATAAGGAACAAGCTGGAACTCCATGGGCCAAAAGTTTCCTAAAAGCAGGAGTTTGCCCCTAACCTCCACCCCAGGGAAAGCCTAGACCCAATTTGAGAGATCATTTAACTGATTAAGTCAGGCCCACACAGGATAATATCCCCAACTTAAAGTCACCTGATTAGGGACTTTATTTACTTCTGCAAAATCCCTTCACAGAGCATTTAGACTCCTGTTGGATTAACTGAGTCCTGCGGTTCAGCCTCAGGAAACTGTGACATCAATCAGCCACATCACAGCTTCTGGGAACGCACCTGCCATCCACCGTATCAGATCGTCCAGCCTTGATTGTGAACCAGTATGAGCATATCCTCAGGTACCAGGGCCAAAGTAAGTGGATTTAGAGAAGAAACAACTTTTAAAATATTTGAAACCAGATGCTAGTTTACAGAAATTCCTTCAATTATCACAGGGAGAAAAAAATTGAAGTAGAAATTCCAGTTGTCATCAAAGCCGAATTAAAATGGAAGGGTGAGGTAATGCAGCCTATACAATATAAAAACACTATGCAGTTTTCCTTTCTCTTTCTCTCTCTCTCTCTCTCTTTTTGTTTGCTGGGAATGTGGTACAGAGCTTTATCAAAGATGCTACTTTACCTGTAACATGGAAAAATATTTTTGGAACATCTCAAAAAAACAACTGAGAAATTCTTGTATAAGTGCAGGCAGAGTGCACATTTGGATGTGTAGAAAATATACTTTATTTTGTCATTTTAAAATTTATTTGTTAAAGTGGTGTCTGGGTGGCTCAGTCAGTTAAGTATCTGCCTTCAGCTCAGGCCCTGATCCCAGGGTCCTGGGATCAAGCCCCGCATCGGGCTCCCTGTTCATTGGGGAGCCTGCTTCTCCCTCTGCCTGCCCCTCACCCTGCTTGTGCTCTCTCATGCTCTCTTGTGCTCTCTCCCTCTCTCTCAAATAAATAAATAAAATTTAAAAAAAAATAAAATTTATTTGTTAAAGAATTAGAATAAAATGCAATTCAAATGAATGGAAATATGAAACAAAGCAAAAAATTAACCAATAGAAAATTGAAAATGAAAATTTTGAAAATTGCAAAATGAAACCAATAGAAATTATTCTGACATCAAGATGCAAATAGGAACAAGAAAATTTTCAGATCATTCCCAAAGTAATAATTTATTAACAGGAAGAGATTAATTTCAAAGTTGAAATAGTGAAGAGACTCTTGGGTTATATGGTAATTTAGTTAATGATGAGAATGAAGAGAACTGAATTATATGAACATATTAGAAAAAGATTTAGGTTTGACACAAAATACCAACCTCACCAAGCACTCATAATATGCCATTATAAAAATGTCAACAAACTGATTAGTGATTATCACCAGATTCACAGGTATTTACAATTACTTGTTATACACATATGCACACACTCAAAATAAATGCCCTGAAATTCAAGAGGTTTTCCCATATTTGACCTTAGTCCTAAAATTTATACTACATTATCAATAACAAGTTATAGAGTTAAAACTATTAACTATCAAAGAATTTTTCAAACATTTGTTCTATCATGCTGAAGACTGCATTATCTTTCTATTCTCTATATAAAAATATTGCAAAACCATTGCCATATAAAGGGGTGTGATGGTTAATTTTACGTGTCCACTTGGCTGGGCAATGGTGCCCAGATATTTGCTCAAGTATTATTCTGGATGTTTCTATGAAGGAGTTATTTTGGATGAGATTAACATTTAAATCAGTGGACTTTGAGCAAAGCACATTACCCTCCTTAGTGAGGATGGGTCTTGTCTAATCAGTTGAAGGCCCTAATAGAACAAAGATGGACCTTCTTCCTTGAGTGAATCTGCCAGCAAACTGCTTTTGGACTCAAACTGCAACTCTTCCCTGGGTCTTTAGCCTGCTCACCTATCCTGTACATTTTGGATTTACCAGGCATTTGCAATTGCATGAGGCTTTTCCTTAAAATATATCTTTCTCCATTTAGATAGATGATAGCTAAGTAGATAAAAATATAGATGAATGAAAGATAGATGATAGATAGATAGATGATAGATAGATAGATAGATAGATAATAGATAGATTCTATTGGTTCAGTTTCTCTGGAAAATTCTGACACGAGGGATAATCAAAAAGAAGTGTTCTGAAGTATATGATAGGCTGAACTGTGCACCGCCCCCCCCCCCCGCCCCTGCCAAATTCAAATGTTGGAGCCCTAACCCTTAGTACTTCAGAATGTGACTATTTGAAGATAGGATCTTTAAGGAGGGGATTAAGTTAAAAACAAAGTCTTTAAGGTATACCTAGTCCAATCTAACTGGCATCTTTGTAAGAGGAGGTAGGATACACACAGAGACACCAGGGACTCGTGCACACAGAGGGACAGCTATATGAAGGGGCAGCAAGTGGGCAGCCATCTGCAAGCCAGAGAGAGAGGCATCAGAGGACCACCCCCGCCCCCCACCGCCAGTACCGTGACCTTGGACTCCAGCCTCCAGAACCGTAAGCTGTAGGAAAGCTGAGAGAAAATAAACTTGCATTGTTTAAGCCACCAGTCTGTGATATTTTGTTATGGTAGATCCTAGAAAACAAATACAAAGTATATCAGGCAGTTAATTATTAAAAATAAAACATCATTGTCCTGAATTTAGGATATTTGTTGTAGCTGCCATCTTTAAAAAAATTGTAATTTCTCATTTCTTTTTTCATTTTGAATAAATTTTCACTTTTATACCTACTTCTTTGTATTATCTTTCTTCAAGAGGGCCCCCCAAAGTTAACTCCTCAGACCACAAAACTCAGCTCTTGCACTGCTGAAACCATGGCATCTGTCACTGCTCCATTAATATCTTAGACAACTTGTATTTCAAATTGTAATTATGTGAAGTGAGGGATATGCTACCTATTCTTACTGCGGTCATCATTTTGCAATATATACAAATATCAAATCATTATGTTGTACATCTTAAATTTACACAGTTATATGTCAATTACAGCTCAATAAAGTTGAAAAAAATTTTAAAGAGTTTATTTATTTACTTGAGAGAGAGAGTAAGAGAGAGTTAGCATGAGCAGGGGGAGGGATAGAGGGAGAAGCAGACTCCCTGCTGAGTGGGGAGCCTGATGCAGGGCTCAGTCCCAGGATCATGACCTGAGCCGAAGACAGACGCTTAACCAACTGAGCCACCCAGGCGTCCCAAGCTGAGAAAATATCTTAAGCCTATTTCTACCAGTGCATCTTCCACATTGTTATAAAATGATCTGTGTCTTGACCTCTACTAGGCTGTGCACATCTTGTGGACAGGCACTGCTCCTCACCCATATTTGAATCTCCAGGGGGTAGTAGCTCAATGTCTAGCACATGTGACAGATGATCCAGAAATAGCTGACGGTTGAATGGGCAAATACACAACCAGATGCACTAGCGAATACTGAAAATGAATTAAGAGTCTGCCAGTCTCTACAGATATTAATTTTAATTTTAGAGTTGAAGTTACAGACTATTCACATTGTCTGAGCTCAACTGGGGGAAGAAATATCCTTAAGACTCTTCCAGCTGCTGGATTCTGATGCAAACCTGAAGCAATTGAGGAGAGTACTTAAACATTTAATCCACCAGATAGAATTTCTGGTTAAGAAACGAAACAACTCAACTCCAACAACCAAAAGTGCATAAAACTGCTCTTGTCCACCCTAGACGCCTTTCCCTGACCCACAAAATACCCTTGATATTTTAGTATTGTATTTGGATACATGTGTAGATACAAATGACTTAACTATGACTCAAACTATGTTTGAGTGGATAACGTGAGTGTGAAATATTATGCTCAGCACTCTGCCAAATACGGACTGTTTCTTGAAAAAGTAAGACATTTAAGTCTGAGATACATGTTTGGAGTCCAAAATATTTTCTGTGAGGATGCGGCTCTGAGTTATAATGACTTTTGTACAGAATTTTTAAACATGCTCACTTATGTATTTCTCCTTATTTTATATTTCCAATTCTCTCTTGTATCTTGAGGGAAAAAGAAATATATATATATTAGGGAAAGGATATATATAGAGAGAATATATAGTATATATATATATTAGGAATATATATACTATATATAATATATATTATACATATATAGTATATATGTATAGTATATTTTAGTATATGTAGTATATACACATATATTATATAATATATGGTATAGTATATATAGCATATATATACTATATATATAGATAGCATCTATATAATATATATCTTTCTATGTATAGTATATATACTATATATACCATGCATACTATATGTATACTATATATAGTATTTATTATAGATACTATAATATAGATTATATATGATATATATACTATAATATGTAGTATAGTATATATATATCTATATATACTGTATATCTATAATAGATACTATATATATATACTATGCATATGTATATATATCCATAATATATATCTATATCTATATATACTATATACTCTGTATACAGTATCTATATAATCTATAATATATATAATCATCTATATATCTATATATAGTATATATCTAATATCTATAACAGATACTATATGCAGTATATATGTAATATATGCATAGTATATATTAGTATATATATGTATATATATAATATATATAGCATATGGTCTTAATACATATATCCTAATATATATATATTAGGAAAGTCATTTCTTTAATATAGTTCATCACAGACAGCAGTGATACTATAGCAATCATTCCCACTGGAATGTCTTCAAATGGAATATGTTTCGTTCTTACCAAGAAAATAAAAAGCAACTTGTTTTCTACTGTTTCAGGTACAAGAGGGAATTGTTGGTGCTCACTACCTTTTCCACAACTGCCTACCTCTCACTTCCTATTTCTTTCCACCTGTTACTCATCTGAGTTGGGGTATTAGAAACTCCATCATATTCCTACCCAATGATCAGCTTCTTCGTCTGTTTTGAATTACAGACTTACCTGAAAATCTGTGCTATTTTCTTCTCAGAAAAAAAAAAAAAGGCACAAATTGGTACAGCATTTTGCATGCAATTTTTGGACCTTCCTAGACCTCTTTAACACCATCTGAGTCCCGCTGGGGACCTCAGGTAAGGAACTTCTGCCCAGGAGCAATCCCTTGATAAAGGCAAGGATGAGCTGATAGTGTGGTACCTATGTGAGATACGGAACCTCCAAAGTATTGCACAAGGTACAGGAAGCTTTATCTAAGGCAACATTTTTAATGCAGAAATGAATTATTAATTACTAAAGTGAGAAAAAGATATTTAGAGACCTAATTCTCAGTAACAGAACCTTTGTTGAATTCTGACTTGAATCAATGTTACAGGGGAAGATCTGGGGAACTTATACAATCATCTAGTGTTTTAGCAACTTATCTTTTCCAAATAGATGGAGGGTTTAAAGAATTTCTCTACTAATCATATTGTTTATTTTCAGAGTAAAGTTAATACAAAGTAAATAGATAAATAAGTCACACTTAAAAGAAAATTGACATTTACCAAGATCACCAAAATTCACATATATTAAAAATAGACCTTGTCTTTGATGTTTATTTCACATTATCTAAATACATCCAGTTATGCAAATTTACATTTTTATTTCACATCTTTTGTTCCTGATATACATATAACAGGACAAAGAACACATATGCAAGATTCAGCCTGGAAAACCCTGCTCAGAGAAAACAAGATTCTCAGCTGCCTCATTCTTTCTGCATGTGTACAAATACAATTCTAAATAACTGAAGTAAAAATCAAGATTGGTAAGAGAAAACAGTGACTAAATTTTCATGCCACCTGAGGTTATTTGTACTTGATTTTTAAAACAGTCTTCTGATTACTGAATTACAATTCAATAGGTAACATTTCTTTGGGAGCTCCTTAAACTATTTCAGGAAGCTTAGGTCTTTGGGGTTCTTCTAACCTGCATGTGGTCGATGCTGGCTACACACCAGTGATGCTTAAATTTTAAGTTGGCATTCTTGTGCTGTGTGTTCACCTAAGCTATTTTTTTCAAGTGGTAGTCAGTATCCTTATCCCTCTTCTATGAAAATCCCTTGCTAGATAGAACATGAGCAATTATTTCTTCAATTAGGCAAAGAAAAAGGACAGGCCAGTTCACTACAGTACTAATTTTAAAGGAAACAATCACATTGCATTAAAGACCTTAACATTTTAGTTACAATGTTATGAGATTCAAATATATCTAAATCACATTAGGATACTAGATGCCTGCGTGTTCATTCTGTTCAATGTTGCCCACGAGATCTTTCATATCACTCATTCCTGGACTTGATCTGCTATTAAAATAGAGAGTGTTTTCAAAAGTGTTCTCTTGAGGTAAGTGCACACGTCTTTTCTTATAAAAGAAATACGCCGCGAGGCCAGCACCCACTATGATCAGGAGGACCACCATGACAACGACTCCTGCCAGGCTGGAAGAAGGTTTGGAAGGACCCATCTTCCTTGGGTCAGCTAGAAATAAATAAAATAATGAGGAGAAAGGTGGAGGGAGGCAAAAGGTAGAATGCTATGAAGAACAAGACAACTTTCTTTTTTGAAAAGCTAAAATGCATGAATGTCCTTTCATTTCAAATGTTTTTTGACATTTGTCAGACAGAAATGAAGGACATAAAAACAGGAGTCCATGTGACATAGAGGATTGTTTTAGATGTTAAGATTATTGTTCAGTTGCAGGAATATTCCATCTGTTAGTTTTAAATCAATGTTTTTTTGTTGTTGTTGTGTTTTTTAAAGATGTATTTATTTATTTGAGAGAGAGAGAGAGAATGAGAGTGTGAGCGTGAGAGCAGGGGGAGGGGCAGAGAGAATCTCAAGCAGACTCTGCACTGAGCACGGAGCCCTGCACAGGGCTCGATCCCAGGACCTATGAGATCACAATCAAAGCCAAAACCAGGAGTCGGATGCTCAACCAACTGAACCACCCAGGCACCCCAGTTAACATCAATATTTTAAAATACGCACCCCTGTTTCAAAATAATTTAATGCTGCTTACCAATCCATCATATGAAGATAAATAGTAATAATAATGATGATAAAAAAAAGCAAGGGAGAAAATTAGGGAAAAGAGAAAATAAGAGTAGTGGCAATCTGAACTCATGAATATAATCAGTTAACAAATAGCACCCAGGAGGTTAGTAAGGAGGTTGCAGGCAAACCATAAATCTGAGGGGTTTTTAGCTGCCAACAAAATTGGCAAAATAAGATCAGTTACCATCAGTTACCTGATTCGAGTTGTCTATAAAAATAAAATTTAAAACATTGCTTAAAAAAAAAGAAGAAAAAACCCCGCAAGGATTCCAGAGAAATCTCTCCTGTTGTTTCCACAAGGCACCTCTGTAATGCAGCAATGTCTTTGATAATACCTATGGTAAAAACAGCAACCTGACTCCAAGGCCTGCTCTCTTAGAGCATTATTCAAGGGAGGTTGATGACATAATGACAAAGGCTAAGGCAGCTCAAGCAATTCTACTGAGAATACAGGGGGTATAGGAAAGGATTATTATGGTTTTTAAAACAAGCAAATTGTATTGATATATTACTAAGAACTTAAAATTTCATAATGGTCTTACCTTTTGTGGTAATTAATGTATGAGTAGGTTCAGCATCAACAACTGTTTGTGAAATAAAAAAAAAATAAATATTTATAAAAGCCCATAATAATTGCATGCAGATAGTGACTATTATTTGGTTCGCAGATACATGGAATCCTCCATATTTGGTTCATGGTGATATGATATATAGATGATAGATGATAGATAAGTAGAATCTAGAAGACCTATGTATGTGTGTATGTATGTAACTATCGATCCATCCATCCATCCACCCATCCTGTATCAGCATCCTATAGCTGTAGGGAGAGTTTGAATACAAAGACAATTCTGAAAATACAGTCCACTGAGTTGCATTTGACCCACTGATACTGACCCTCAAAATCTAACCCATCTATCCAAAAATAACGTATTCTAGGCTGTTTTGAAATTGGCCCACGGAAGCCTAAGGTACCACAGGGCGTTTGAATGAAAAGTAAAACAAGACTCCCACACTGAACCAAAGTGTCTCAAAGAGAGTTTTAAAAGACTGAAGAACTACACGATTCCAAAATAATAAAATCTACTGAGATAGAGTGTTAATTTATCTAATTCCTATATTTAAATCTATTATTTAATTAATATTTTATCTCTTGGGAAGCATATTATGTGAAGTAGATTGGCATAAAATATTATTAAAGTCTAGAGAGTATTACATGGTGGGCATGGAACACCATTAATTCCTCCAATCCTTGTCTTTACATGATCTGCTACTTAATCTCAGAAGGAGATTTAATTGGTCTTACATGATTTATTCCATAGTAAATTCTGATTCCTCTCCAGAATCTTAATACCTTCTGGTTTGGTGGAGATGACAAACTTTACCCCCTTTTCCTTTTATGCTGTAAGGCTTTATAAGCTGACTCTTCAAACCACCTGCAACTCCACAGTCCATATGCCTGGGTATCCCATCATAAATGTATTGATATACCTAAATCATTATGGCAGCTACACAGAGTTTGCTCCCACAGAGCTGCAGACAACAACTAATCACTAGGGATTCTTCACTTACTCAGGGAGAGAGCTTGCATGAGACCTGTAACCACATTATAATCCCACGTGTGACCCCTTAATATTTGAAAGAAACAATGGCCTGTGAACATAGGTACTGCAAGGAAAATTCTTACTTTTTGGTCTTTTACAAATATATCCTTTGTAGGAAGAACAGTGAATATTATTCCAAAATCCAGAAGATGCGGATAAAGCTACACAATCATTTCGTTCACCAGAGGGATCTCCTGTGTTCCAGTTGACAAAGGAGACTGGATTGTTGTTTACCCACAGCCACTTTCCTGATGATCAAATGAAGTCAGTAAAAACAGAAGTTAAGAATTACCCATCTTCAAATAAAATCAACCTACTCATGCAGAATTTCTAAGCATATTATTTTATACTATAATCAATAGTTGTTTACAACCAGACTTTTAGTATGCAAGATTACAATGACCAATTATTACAGGGAAAAAAACTGAAAAGAATATGTTTCTTCTATAGCTTTAGTTGAAAATTGATTCCTAATTAGTACAAATACATATGCTTATCCTTCCCTAATTTTTTTTTCTGGCAAAAGATAGAAATTATTTTTTAAAGCTTCTTAAACTAACTTAGCTACACAACACTCCTTTAATCAATAGCCTTCAAGAGAGCATAATATGTGAGTCATTTAAAATTTCAGTTCTTATTTTAAATGAAAATATAAGTTTGAATTTTCAAACTCTTCACAAATTAATCATTATTTAAGGCAAGACTTTCTGGAACAGAAAACTTGTTTTGCACAGAGCATTTTGAAATATTTGTGATTAAATCATTGTTCTGCAAATTTACCTTCAACATTTCTGAACAATCCTATCCAAAAATTGGTTTTGCTTTGAAGTGGTTCTACTCGATAGGACAGAAAACTTGATTCAGCAGCACTTTCAATGGAAACCAAAGAGGAGCCTGCAAAGTATGAAGAAACAATGTGATGGAACTACATTTAAGTAACTAAAAATATTTTTATAATGATAGTATTGATAGCAAGAGCAATAAAAACGTCTCCACTTAAGGTGAAGAATTTCAAAGAGTAGACATTTGACTTCTCAAAATTTCAGTTTCCCTTCTGAAAATATGATTGGGGGGAGCACCTGGGTGGCTCAGTCGGCTAAGCAGCCAACTCTTGATTTTGGCTCAAGTCATGATCTCAGGGTCATGAGGTCGGGCCCTGCATGGGCTCTGCTCTAGGCGTGGAGCCTGCTTAAGATTCTCTCTCTCCCTCTCCCTTTGCCCCTCCCCTGCTCATGCTCTCTTAAAAAAAAAAGATTTTTTTTTAAGCATAATTTTTGTATAAGCACTGGATGAGCTGTGGCAAGACATGCAGACCAGTAGGACAATGTGTCTTTTTTTTTTTTTTAACTCTGCTTTAATGTTTCACAGACACTTGAAGCTCAACATGTACAAAACAAACTCATAAAATTTTTGCCTAGAAATCTTATTTCTCCTTAGCTGTTTACATATCAGCAAGCAGCTGATATGGCCTATGAATATAGGTACTGCAAGGAAAATTCTTACTTTTTGATCCTTTACAAATATATCCTTTCCACTCACTCAAGTGTGAACATGAGAGTCATTCTTGACTTCCACCCTTTCTAGTGCCTATGCCCAAATTCTGTTGTGATTTTACTGTTTCAATAGTTGTCACATCTGTCTGCTTCTCCCTGTTTCTACTACCTCTACCTTAAGAATGGCCACTAGCATCTCATACTCAAATTATTGGACCAGCTCTTGTGGTAGACAGAATCTAAGATGGTTCACTTTGATCCCTGCCTCCTGATATATAAGCATTAATGTAATATCCTCCTCTTGAGTGTGGGTTTGGGTATAGCGATGTGTGTGTGTGTGTGTGTGTGTGTGAATTTTTTAAATTTGAGTACAGTTGACACACAATGTTACATTAGTTTCAGGTGTACAAATTAGTGACTTGACAAGTTTATATATTATGCTATATTCACCACAAGTATAGTTACCATCTGTCCCATTACATCACTATTATAATATCACTGCATTCCTTTTGCTCTTTCATTCCCTTTACTTACTGATTCCATAACTCGAGGCCTGTATCTCTCCCTCTCTCACCTTCACCCATTTTGCCCAACCTTCTACCTCCCTCCCTCTGGCAACCATCAGTTTGTTCTCTGTATTTAGAGTTCTGATTCTGCTTTTTGAAATGTTTTTGTTGTTGTTGTTGTTGTTGTTGTTGTTTTAATTTTTTATTTATTTGCGAGAGAGAGAGAGAATGAGAGACAGAGAGCATGAGAGGGAGGAGGGTCAGAAGCAGACTCCCTGCTGAGCAGGAAGCCTGATGTGGGACTCGATCCCGGGACTCCAGGATCATGACCTGAGCCGAAGGCAGTCGCTTAACCAACTGAGCCACCCAGGCGCCCTGATTCTGCTTTTTGTTTGTTTATTATTTTTTTTTAGATTCCATCTGTGAGTGGAATCATATGGTATTTGTTTGACTTATTTCACTTGGCAAAATACCCTCTAGGTCCATCCGTGCTGTTTTAAAAAAAGCAGAGTCTCATCCTTTTTTTATGGCTGTGTAATATTCCATTGTGTGTGTGTGTGTGTGTGTGTGTGTGTACATACTACATTGTCCTTATCCACTTGTCTATTGATAGACACTTAGATTGCTTCTGTGTCTTGGCTATTATAAATAATGCCGCAGTAAACATAGGGGTGCATATATCTTTTTGAGGTAGTGTTTTTGTTTTCTCTGGGTAATACCCAATAGTGGAATTATTGGATGATATGATAGTTCTATTTTTAATTTTTTGAGGAATTGCCATACCGTTTTCCACAGTGGCTGCACCAATTTTCATGCCCACCAACAGTCTGTGAGGGTTCCTTTTTCTCCGCATCCTCACCAACACTTGTTATTTCTTTTCTTTTTGATTTTAGCCATTCTGACAGGTGTGAGATGATACCTCATTGTGGCTTTGATTTCTATTTCCCTAATGATTAATGATGTTGAGCATCTTTTCATATGTCTGTTGGCCATCTGGATGTCTTCTTTGGAAAAATGTCTATTCAAGTCATCACAGAGTATGTCTTAACAAGGTTATGGTTCAGGAGATAGCATAGATTGAAGGATGGGTTAGAGGAGAAAATATGTATGATATGTAATTAACATGTCAAATGAGGGGAAGATTTGTTTTAGGTGGAGCAACTAAAGGGGAGCATGGAGAAAATAGAATTTAAGATATTAAGAAGCATAGGATTTCAAGTGGAAAGAATAGAAAATAATTCCAAGAAGAGAAGGAATGAGAGAGGAGACAGAGAGGGAAGCATAGAGCTTCTTCAAGAACATGGCACATATGGGGTGGTTGGGTGATAGACATTGGGGAGGGTATGTGCTATGGTGAGTGTTGTGAATTGTCTTAGACTGTTGAATCACAGACCTGTACCTCTGAAACAAATAATACATTATATGTTAAAAGAAGAAGAAGAAGAAGAAGAAGAAGAAGAAGAAGAAGAAGAAGAAGAGGAAGAAGATAGCAGGAGGGGAAGAATGAAGGCGGTGGAAATCGGAGGGGGAGACGAACCATGAGAGACTATGGACTCTGAAAAACAAACTGAGGGTTCTAGAGGGGAGGGTGGTAGGGGGATGGGTTAGCCAGGTGATGGGTATTAAAGAGGGCATGTACTGCATGGAGCACGCAAACAATGAATCATGGAACACTACATCAAAAACTCATGATGTAATGTATGGTGTTTAACATAACATAAAAAAAAAAGAACATGGCACACAGATACATGGATTCCTCCATATTTGGTTTATGATGATAGGATATAGACAAATGATGGATAGATAGATCTATCTACTGGGAGGAACTTAGAGTGTTAATAGATGGCTCAGTTTGGCTGGAATACTCTGGTCAACAGGTGAAAAAAAGATTTGGGTTAGGCCTTTCTGCAGATGGAAAGAGATTGGTATTTAAGGTAGTGATAAAGAACACTTAGTTTCTTCAGGCAGCAGGATTAATTATTAATCCTGCTGTTAGGTATAGGACTGTACAAAGTAAAAAGAGAGGAAAACTGAAAGACTGGTTAGATTACTATAGCATCAACATCTCACATTACATTAAGGTTGATTCAGTGTCAGCATTAGAGTTTATAGTAAATATCTATAGCTTTATAAGAATAACAACTAATATATTTTAAGCACTTTATGCCAGACATTTCACATTGTGCTTTACAAGTGTGGTCTCACTAGAAATTTACAACCACCTTCTTAAATGAGCACTACCATTACCTCACTTTATAGATAAAGACCCAAAAGTACAGAGGGTAATTTGTCAAGATCCAGTGATGGGCTGAGTCATAGCATGATCCAGGCGTTCTGAATCTCAAAACCCTACACTTACCCATATGCCTGCATCCCATGTTACTGGGTCCTGGATGATCCCCTTGATGATTGTTTTTATTGCATGATTACATATTCCACCATTTAACAGATTTCAAAGATAATAACCATTTCAAAATATTTGTGACATGTTTTGATAAATGAGAATCATTCATCTTATTTATAGGAAAACATAGTCACCTAAAGTTGAAAACAAAGTTTCTCCATATTCATTGCAAGTTTTTAAAAAAAACACTTAGCAACATGAAGAGGAAAAATATTTTTTAATTAAAAAATTCCAAAGCAGACTTTGGTGACACCATAAGGAATGGCAGAATAACTATCCATGAAAATCCTGTCCTCTACAAAAGCAGTAAGAACACTGACAAATTTCAGAACCCTAAAAATTAATCAACAGGTTGTAACAATCCAGGAAGTATTTATTTAAAAAATAGTCAGTCTTTGGATGAAGAGTGAGCTTCATGGTTTTTTGACTTGTTCTAATTTCATTGCCTTATCCTCAGCTTTCGGTTTACCTTAAAAACAAACAGCACCCAAATCACAGTGAAAACCAGCAGCCTAGAAGCCACCAGAATAGTCGGAATGGTGTTGGAGCTCTTTCAAAGTCCCAATTCAATGAATTTCCATTATTTTATCTCTCTGAGAGTTCAGTGGAAAGTCTCACTTGCAAAGCTTGGCTTTATTTGTCCTAATTCAGAACTCAACTGTGTCAATAGCCTTCTTTCTGAGGGCATTTTTCAAAAACTTTCAGTGGCAATTGTCTAACATCATAGATGCCTGAGGTAGGGATAACAGGTGAGGAAAAGAGGATAACAAAGAAAAAAAGCTTAAAAGGAAAAATGGGAATAAGTGGTCCATAGTGAGCTCCAAAAACCTTCAATTCATTCTTGGGAATCTAGAAGGCCACAGACAGGCACTGGGGCATGTACACACCCGGGACCACATGCATGCTTATGAAAAATCTGAGGGACTCTTAAGCTCTCACCCCTGGCTGACCTTGAGGGTCTGCACAAACAGGAAGCGAGGACCAAGGCAGAGTTTTAAACTACTTGAATGAATGTGGAAGGCAGTATCTTCAGGCAGAGTCCCTCAGGAAAACCTGGGAGACTTATTGGTTCTAGGCATTTAAGGAAATCTGTTCCCAATCATTAGCTGACCACTAAGCTAGCAGTGACTGCAGTGACCACACATGAAAAAGAATACAAGCTTTACAGAATTAGTGAAGGAAAATCACTAAACCAGAAAAAAACAACAAACAGCAACAATGGCATACTCTGTGGAATGGAAAGAATCTCATTTCCAGAGTTGCCCATCATATTATTTAAAATGTCCAGTTTTCAACAAAAAATTACAGAAAATGCAAAAAACAAGAAAGTATGGCCCATACCAAGAAACGAAACAGTCAACACCAACTGTTCCTGAGAAAGCCACACCTTCGATTTACCAAAGACCAAATCAGCTATGTTAAAGAAATAAAGGAAAACATGTATAAAGAATGAAAAAGAAGTATGTAATGTCTCACCAAATAGAGAATATT